TGCGGGCAATAACCGACTTTTACAGTGGCTACACACGACGAACATGTGCGCGCACATGATCCGCTTGCGGTGCATGTTCGTCGTTTGTACGGCGGTTCACGAGCATGCTCGCGAAAAATCAAAAAAATCCTATAGTTTTTATATAATTTGTTGTTAAAGTTTTCGTATAATCGATGAATAAGATAGCAATATAACATCGAACTTGGTGCTGCCAGACCGGAATTTCGAATAATAAAAGCAGATTTTTAATTCGGAATTTGCACTTAGTAGAATTCTCCTTTATGTGTTGCCGAAGAAGAGGTGCTGAACACCTTATGCAGAGAAAACCTTTCTGCGTAGGCAGCCTTCGGCCGCACTTAGGGATTATAACCCTCACTAAGTAGAATTCTCCTTTCTGTGTTGCCAAAGAAGGGGGCTGCACACCATTTGCAGAGAACACCTTTCTGCGTAGGCGGCCTTCGGCCGCACTTAGGGATTATAACCCTCACTACGTAGAATTCTCCTTTCTGTGTTGCTGAAAAAAGGGGGCGGAACACCTTTTGCGGCCGCACTTAGGAATTATAACACTCACTACCTAGAATTGTTGTTGTTGTAGCGGGTACTAAGCCCCGTTCGGGTCGGTTCATCCGTCAACGTTGTCGTCAATTTCGGCTAGGGGGAGGCCCAGGAAGTGTGCGACTTCAGCTGAGTGGGGTTCTCAGGGCATGGGAAGAGGTGCCGGGAGTCAAGTGGCGACTCTCCACATGCCGGGCATTGGTTGGGCACATCCTCATTGATACGTAGAATTCTTTCTATTGTATTGTTTTGTACAGTATGGCAACACATCTTATGTGTCAGTTTGCGACCCTGTGTTATTGTAAATATGGGTGCAATGTAATGTAATTACAAGTTAATAAAAGTTGGATTAAAGTGATTTATATACAAGATAAAATAAAATAAAAGTGTGTAATTAGGTAGAGTTATGTGCATCTATTTGACAAATGCACTCTTTGATAAGGAAATCAAGTGGAACGACTTAAGAAATTTTAACAACAAATAACTTGTAAACAATTATATTGTTAATATTTTTTAGTTATACATGTTTCAGAGGATACCTCCCTTAATATCCTGACCAAGTTTCATTTGTTAATTCCACCTGGTTTTCTTAAAACAAAAGGTGCGGATGAATACTAAAGTCCACCCCGGGCTCATCTCGGTGTAAATTCTATCGATTGGTGGAAAACTAAACAAAAATACGACAAATTGACTGATCTGGAGCGCTCGACCCGCCGTTCCAAGTGAGCAATTTTTTAGTGCAGCCGGCCTTATATACGAGTCTATAAGAAATCGCCTCATGGGAGAAAAGGCAGCAATATTACTTTTTTTGAAATATCATATGCCCATTTTGAACTTTGACTACAAGATTAAAACACTGTATAGGTTAAGCACTCGTTCAATGTTCTAATAATTTACACAATTTTTAAGTAATAAAAAAAAAATTACTTAACATTCGCACTCGCACATTCGTATTCCGAAATTCCCATTCACATTCGCGAATGTGAAAAATGTGGCATTCAAAACATCCTTAATACATACACAAAAACCGTACTAAACTGTCTCGCTTTGGTTTCCTCGAAAAGTGGTGCCGTAATATTACGACCGCTTTTATGTAAAGCTAAATGAACGTAACGTAGATATGTGCTTTTATGTTGTATAGGCATTCATTGCTTTTCACAAAGTTTATTAGGTCTTCATCTGCCGGCCGTCCATGCACTTTCCACTTTATTATTCAAAATTGATAGAAATATATATTAAATGCTTTTATTTTGGTCAAAAGAATTATAAGCAAATTTTCTAATAACCGCTACAACTATGACGTTGCCAAAAAAGTTGATAAATAGTTCTGTCGCCGTCAGAAATATTACGGTGCCGTCAAATTACATTGCCGTTATCTTAAATAGTTTACATCTGGTAAAATTTACATGGCAACGTTTTTGGCAACGTAAAGTTACGAGCGTTATTTTACGTTACCGCTTTCGAGGAAACCAAAGCTTTACTGCCAATACAGAAGTATTACATATACAGGGTGTCCCAAAAGTAACCTGCCAAACTTGAGGAGAAGGTAGATGGGGGGGTGAGCTCTCTGATAAACAAAAAATTTTCAGGTAAAAGTGTTACCGTTTTTGAAATATTTACATTTTTTTAATAAAAAAAATCGTGCCTTTTCATGTATTTTCTTTAACTGCATCTACAAACCAGGCTATACCTACTTAGTAAATTTTTTATGTATAGTTGCTTCTCCATACTCAAATGCAATGTAGGTAAAATATATTAAGGAACCATCATAAAATTATGACTATTTCGGGATTTTTAACTTTTGATATATTCTTCCCCAACTTTGACTATCTCAGGTAAAAAAAATGTACTGAGCTATAACTTTACATTACATAAAAAAATTGCTCATTTATTAAAGATTTCAGACAGGTGCGCNATGTAGTTAAAATATATTAAGGAACCATCATAAAGTTATGACTATTTCGGGATTTTTAACTTTTGATATTTTCTTCCCCAACTTTGACAATCTCTGGTAAAAAAATGTACTGAGCTATAACTTTACATTACATAAAAACATTCTTCATTTATTAAAGATTTCAGACAGGTGCGACTCTTACTGTTTCGAATAGAAACCAAAAAAGTTATAGCCGCTTTTGTGGGCAAAGGACTGAGACACGCTAGAATGTATTTAATAGATTTAAATTTAAGTTGCTCTTGTTACCGACCAATGACATGCTAACTAGTACAAAGGTACATTATTGCCTGCTCCTGACATTATTTTATTATATATATTAGGGATGTGCCGGGTATCCGGTAGATATCCGGAATCCGGCTTATNTTTAATAGATTTAAATTTAAGTTGCTCTTGTTACCGACCAATGATATGCTAAATAGTACAAAGGTACATTATTACCTGCTCCTGACATTATTTTATTATATATATTAGGGATGTGCCGGGTATCCGGTAGATATCCGGAATCCGGCTTATCCGGCCTTTTTTCTGTTATCCGACTATCCGGCCGGATATTGGTTAAAATCCGGCAGGATTTCCGGATTTCGATTATAGAAGATTCTATTTAAAAATATCCCAGCAAAAAATTGGTAATCGCTTTTAGTGGTAACGTGTTCTAGAAGGCATAGCGTTATAATGCCTCGAATTTTTCCGCTTCTTTTAGGCATTGCCGGTAATGCAAAGTAGAATGTCCAACAATATTTTATTTATTTCGCTTCTTTGTTTGATTTCGGGGAATGCAAAGTAGAATGTCCTATAATATTTCTTTTTTAATTCGTTTCTTTGCTTCATCTCCGGAAATGCAAAGTAGAATGTCCTACAATATTTTATTTGTCTCGCTTCTTTGCTTAATTTCAGGGAATGCAAAGTAGAATGTCCTACTTTCTTGTAGAGCCTGAAAACGTTGAATGTCGTAGGGATGAAATCGATGGTCTTTTAAAGCTTTGTGAACTGTAGTTTTTTGTATTCCCGTCCGTCTTTACATCATTCTTACTGAAGTCGATGGACCTAGTTCCACTTCCTGTAACACAACTTCAACATCTACCGTTGCAGGACGTCCTGTTTCGCCGCCACGCCTTCCAGGTATGCGACCTTAAAAAAGTGAAAAATGATAGTTAACAAGCAGGCAAACAAGAAGGGTGTAAAAATCAGTTACCTTTATATATTTCTGTATGGGTCCGGGCGAATACTTCACGACCCGGATGCCGACGATTGGGGTATAGAGTCTTTGAGCAGCTCTGGCATTACAGCAATCTTCACCGTGAATAGGTGAATATCCGCATATTCATGCGACGTATCTGCGTGTTCTCTGTCATAGTATTAGTAACACAATGTTCGAATAATGTCAGGAACAGGTAATAAATAATGTACCTTTGTACTATTTAGCATGTCATTGGTCGGTAACAAGAGCAACTTAAATTTAAATCTATTAAATACATTATAGCGTGTCTCAGTCCTTTGCCCGCAAAAGCGGCTATAACTTATTTTTCTATTCGAAACAGTAAAAGTGGCACCTTTCTGAAATCTTTGTTAAATAAACAATTTTTTATGTAATGCAAAGTTATAGCTGAGTACATTTTTTTTTCACCAGAGATAGTCAAAGTTGGGGAGGAAAATATCAAAAACTTAAAAATCACAAAGTAGTCCTAATTTTATGATGGTTCCTTAATATATTTTAACTACATTGCATTTGAGTATGCGAGAAGCAACTATCTGGAAGTATTTTACATAAAAAATTGTTTGTAGATGCAGTTAAAGAAAATACATGAATATGCACTATTTTTTATTAATTCCAAAAATTTAAATATTTTATAAACGGTGACACTTTTACCTGAAAATTTTTTGTTTATCAGGGAGCTCACCCCCATCTACCTTCTCCTCAAGTTTGTCAGGTTACTTCTGGGACACCCTGTATGGGCGCATGTATAGACTAGTCTATGTCGACTTGTCTAAACGAAGTGTGCAGAGCCATCGAAAAAACTCTCTGTCCATAACACATAACGTTTAAAATGACTGTGGCAGACGAAAGGGACGCGAAGAGGTATTTCTGTGAAAACTTTGGTATTCCTGCAACAATTGGGGCGATAGAGGGAACGCATATTCAAATGGTGCGGCCTACTGTAAACGAACATTTGTATTTCAATAGGAAACTGAAGCACAGTGTAAATGCCATGGTTGTGAGTAGTTGTATGAAACACTTATGCAAATATGTATATATGACCATATGATTGAACTATTACAGATATGTGATCACAGAATGATTGAAAGGGCAGTTTATGCTCGTTTTGGAGGCGCATGCCACGATTCACATGTGTGGAATGTGTCCCATGAGAGACGTTTTGAAGGCGGCGATAGAGCCACACACCTAATAGGTTGGCTAATTTTACTTCTCTTTTTTATATAGTATTAATTTTGTGATTGTTTCTTTTATATTTCTTTGAAAGGAGACTCGGGATATCCCTTAGAAGCATGGGGTCGAATCGTCACAGTCGTGAACGAGACGACAATCGTACGATCGAAAATTTCGTCATTCGATCTTCGAATGCACATTATCGGATGATTACATTCGAAAGCTGACGAATCGTAATTGAATGTTTGTTTATCGATTATTTTTGTCTTCTTCTTCCTATTTGGCAGTAACAATAGACGTTGAAATGCCAAAATAAGTGAACCAAAAATAAAAAATAAACTGCAAAACAAGATGGATCCCAGTTTTTAGTTTTATCTTAGCTCAAGCGACAGCGAAACGGATGAAAAAATTGTGCGCAAACAGTTGCGGGACAAAAGCGATCCGCTGGCTTTATCAAATAATGCGTAAGTACTATAAATGTAGTAAATGTGACAGTCATCTAAATTTCTAATTTTGCTGATTCATCAAGCAATTTCGGCTTAACAAGGAAGCATTCCAACATGTCCGCAAAAAATTGATTTTTCGAGCCATGACACCAAAGCCGTTCCACCAGTCCTGCAATTAGCTGCTAGTCTTTCTCTTCTTGGTAGTGGCAGCTACCAACACACGGTTGGAAGTGACTACATAATTGGAATGTGCCAGAGTACAGTGTCCAAATTAACTTCCCATGTTCCTTTGCAAATGAAGAATTAGCTATGCCCTGAATTTATAAAATTTGATGTGGACAACTCGCAAAAATGTAAGGAGTGGTTTATGGAGAACTACAGAATACCCGGAGGTAAATAAAAAACCAATGCACATAAATATAAACACTTTTATGTATGTAGATATGTACATATATTGAATTTATGTACATCAACCTTTTTTGTATCATTTTAGTTATCGGATGTATAGATGGGACTCACATAGGTTTGCAGAAGCCAACCCAAAATGAACATATGTACTTCAATAAAAAGGGCTCCCATAGTCTTAACGCTATGATAGTAAGTTTTTCATACAAAATATTAAATATTTGTTAACTAATACACATTTATTTGTATGCATACTTCCAAAGATTTTTGACCACACATACAAAATTGTAGCAATCAATTGCCAACATGGAGGAGCAGCGCATTGGCCATTAAATTCTTTTGTGTTGAATTCATCTTGTTGTAGTTAGTCTTTATTAAAATAAATGTTAAAATTGTTAATAAATTTACATTGCCTTGAAAATTGCTTACATTTTAAAAATTCGCTTAAATTTAGCGCGCTCACGATTGATAGTTGCTGATCGAATGACACTAAGAAGGAACGAGTACGTCCAGTTACTCGTTCACGTCTGTCATCATACCGAATTTCGATAAATTTCGATAAATGTTGCTCGTTCACGACTGTCATAATCCGAAATTCAAATTTTTAGATAACGAGTTGCTCGTTCACGACTGTGACGATTCGACCCCTGGTTGTTAACACCGTATAGAAGCGCGAATGCAGACTGTTTAGGCCACCGGCCTAAATTTGCTTGAACTTTCCGACACACCCTAATTTCTGGAGCTTGGTGGCTGGATGTCTTCCTTCTCGGATAGTCGCTAAACGAGTAAGTAAACCGTTTTTGGTTTTATTTACGGTTGCATATTTTCTTAACATTAATAATTAATGTTAATTAGTGTGTAACATACTTACGATCTTATGGTTGCCGTCGATCTGTTAACTACTATGTTAAGAAAATATGCAACCATAACTTTCGTTAAATAAACAGTTCGACCGGCAACCGTAAATAAAACCAAAAACGGTTTACTTACTCGTTTAGCGACTATCCGAGAAGGAAGACATCCAGCCACCAAGCTCCAGAAATTTGTATTCAAAAGGTAATCTATAATTCCAATATATGTACATATATCTATGTATACACAAAATTCTAAGTGAATAAACACTCTTATTATTAGTTATACTAATGCCGAGTTCTTTCTATTTTCTTTTCATTAAATTAATCATTGGTGCGAACGTGCAACCAAATCTTGCTCCAAGCGTTGCGCCGATGAATATGGTCCTTTGTCGCCGAGACTGAAAAAGTTTATCTCACCAGCACCAACAAGTTGTTTGCCAATCAGGACCGGCTAATCCCCGAGAATACAACTCCACAGAGCTCATTCGAAATTCAGTGAGGTTAACCACAGGAGCAGTTTAAGGATTCAAAACCTACACCAGTTACAAACATACAGCAGC